ATGCACATATCTCAAAAATTGCATCCAGGTGATCCCGGAAGGCGATTAGAATTTTGTAATTAGAGAGTAAAAAAACCTGATTTTTCTGTTTTCCTGGAAAATGTAATTTGAACGGATGAAAGCACTTTTACTTACGAATTGTGGAATATTCAACCGATTTAACGAACACATTTGGAGCATAAACAACTCCAGGCAGAGATTCCACCTCAAGTGCGATTTAGTATTAACGTGAAGGCAGGAATTTACAAAGACAGAATTTTGGGTCCTTATTTATTTGACGGAATCTGAATGGAGAAACCTATCATCAGTTTTTATTGTCGATTTTCGAAGACTATTTGGATGATCTACCTTTGGCTAACTATAACAACATCTGGTTTCAACATGATGGCGCTCCACCGCACACTATCACACAAGTATATAATTACCTGACTGAAAGGTTTGGTGATGAATGGATAGGGAATAAAGGGTCGGTAAGTTGGCCAGCAAGGTCTCCAGACTGAAGTGTTATGGATACATTCTTATGGGGTACACTGAAGAATAGAGTTGATGGTCGATGGAATATCAAAATATTGAGGACCTTCAACACAGCATTGTTGGAGAGTTCGAAAGATTGTGGAGGAGATCTGGCCTGTAAAATCACTTCCCTCCTCATTTGTAACAGCTCCAAATATTGTTTTCATGATGGACCGACCTCCTTTTATGAATACGTGTATAGGAGTGAATGATGTTTCTAACCAATTCTTCCTAGAATTAATTAACTTATTCCTTGGAAGCTGTGAATTTGTTCACTGATTTCCTTGGTGACTTCAAGCAAGCATCAGATAGCATCCAATATTTCTCCGTTATTCAGAAATATTCGAGCTTTCTGCATGTTTTTGTGGGCAGCCTTAATTGACTGTAAAAAAATAAAAAGTAAGATTATCTAATGCAAGGTTCATAGTTATTGTTTTGTTGAAAGTCGGGAAGAAAAAGACGTAAATAATGAACTTGGCATTGAAATGGATCACGAAATTCAGTTTGATATTGTGAGGATTTCCTGAAGTATTTTAAAATCTCTTCCTACTGTTTGGTACTTGATGAAAAGGAGAATCAGTTCATGTTACCAGCTCATTAATTGTCGAATATTCGTAATCTATCATCTTCGAATTTTACACTGGGTTAGTAATATTCGTACTGCCACAACTGTAACGTATTATTCTTACCATGAAATAATAATTAGGAACAATGCGAAATATGCATACAGAAAGGTGTTTCCTGTACATTACAAATTGAAAATTATCTATTGAATCATGAATAAACTGAGACGTTACTCAGTAAAAATCATTATAATTGAAACCTCTGGCATGAAACGAATTTATTGAACACGCTTTTCTCTCACAAGAATCAAATTGCTGTCTCTCAACGTGTGTTTTTCTAGGCAAGTTAGCATTATCAGAAAATTATTTTCTTACAAATGACAGTCTTAGTCATCTCCTGATGATGCTAACTTGGTTAGCAGAACGCGCATTAAGATACAACAATTTTGTTCTGATGAAGGGCAAGTCTTTTCGATACAAACACTATTCACTATATCAATCAAACAATACTCAGTAGTGTTTTGGTTGGTTTTCGAGTTTTGTCGTGGTTTTCTTTGGTTACAATATCCAAACGTTTCAACTGCAACCACGGAAGTCATCTTCAGTGGCGTGGTCGAAGTACTCTTCTTCACGTATCATCTGAAAAATTCAGTTGTTACGTTAATACGTCAAGAAAAGTACTTCGACCACGCCACTGAAGATGACTGCTGCAGTTGCAACGTTTGGATATTGTAACCAAAAAAGACCACGGCAAAACCCGGAGACCAACCAGAACATTGACGCAGCTGTGAAAGTCTACATTCCTATAATACACGGTAGCTTCATCATTTGGAATGGTACATCCAACCATTCAACAATATAACAGTACGAAAACACAAAACTTAACGAGATAAATAAATAGTTTTGATTTTGAAAGAGCAATCACAATTACAGCATATAATATTAGTTCAAGGAAGACACAATTAATGAATATTTCATTTATTGACATTTTATGAACACAAGTTCAACTATGGTGAGTAACTAACTTCTTGTGATGCACTTTTTGGAACCTTCGGTGTTGTAATGGATATAACTGGAGTTTTATTCCAACACCAAACCGTTATTTCAAATACCTCGACACGTGTTCCAATCACCAAGTAATCAACCTCAAGAGAAATATTAATCATGAGGAAGTTTTATCTTTCTCTTTAGGATGATCACTTGGTGAACACGTGTCGAGGTGTTGAAAATAACGGTTTGTCGTCGGGATAAAACCCCAGAAATATTTCTTGACTAACTTCTTATTGGTGGTTTGAACAAAAATGAGTATTTGGTGTTCATTGATTTCCATAGATTTTAACAAGTTTAATTTTTGTCCTTTATTTTCTGTATGTAATATTTCGTAGTCCATGTTGAAATCGTAGTTGTTTTCTAGAAGGTGACAAACATATGTAGAATTGTTTGATTTCTGATTGTTGAATTATGAATACACATTACAGGCTTCAATTTAAGTTTTTTCCTTCATCCCAACGAGTCGAGAACCTACCTCAATATCAAATTTGAGACAAATTCAACTCGGTTATGATGATATATATTTTGGAATGAGAATCGTCGTGAAAGAGTTACAGGTGGTTCATGGGTTAAAGCAGGATATTTTTCATACAACGAAACGTTGTATGAAAAATAAAATGAATTTATATTGTAGCCTCCATACAATTCAGCTGGAAACATTCCGAGGAAGCCTACGATTGTCTGGATTCCTCAACATAATTCCATTCCATTCTCAAAAGTACATTTATTCGACCGAATTTTTTTCAAAGTTTGCACTCAGAAAAAATGGTTCCCAAAATTCCTGCCAAAAATTAATTTTTTTGTGGATGATGGGGGTGAATTATGTATTCCATATTGGGTATTGAATCACCCTAGTATCGAAAATTCTAACAATTCACTTGCACATTCATTTGAAAGATACGGGAAACATGTGGTATACATACTAGCTAGATTGCGATCAGTGTGTTACGAGGAGATTTTGTGTTGAAATCATCTTCGTTCAATTCATGAGTCTTTTTCATTTTGGAATGATAAAATTTCTGTTTATGAAGAATTTTCGGATCGTTTGTACGGTTCACTCTTGATTANAATGATTTTCATCATAATATTAAAAAAAAATAAAACATCAAATTATAATAGCAGAAAACAGATTATGATAGACTGGTAAGGATCTAGAAGCATTTATTTCATTCCTAGTATGCTGAATCCGTATAATATTGTTCAACGCAATGATGCAACATTCAAAACTTCGAAATAGATGAAATTTCAACAACACATGACCATGCAATTTTGCGATTATCTAATTCACCACCAAGACTAAAATCCAATTGAGTTAGTATGGGCATTTCTCAGACAATATCTAGCACAAAAAATGCATCTTTCAATTTTAGGAATGTTCACCAATTAGGTATGACTTTTCTGATGAGTTTGGTGCTGATAAATGGAAAAAATTCTTCTGATCACGCATCAGAGAGGAGAAATAAATTTTAAAAACAGAGCCTTCCTCAGAATTATCATGAGAAAAATTATAATTAATTTAGATGATGATTCTGAAGCGGAAAGTGGAGAAGTCGATGATAATGAAATCAAGTGAAAAGTAATGTATACTTATATAAATTATATTCAATGAAATCATATTCATGGATTTGTCTTTAGCTATGCCTTAGTCCTGCGCAAACCATGACTTCCATAAAGAAATTGATTTTTTTCTGAATACTTTCTCATGCCGATCTTTATACAGGCCATGACCCTTTCTGTGTACTGTATCTTGACTTCGTTAAGTAAGGTGTTTCAAATTCGATCCCCACCATTGAGATCTCGGAAACTATGAGAGATACGAAGATTGTTGAATTGCGGCAAAGTTGCTCATTTACCTTAAACTTTCAACACTAGCAAAGATGTCATCAAGGACTTTCTTGAAAGACTGGATGTCAAATTTTAAACCGTTGGTGTTGTTCAAAAAGTTGATCTCTTCCTTATCAAACGATTGTGATGAATGATTTTCGACAATATTTATGACTTTCGGAGTGGCTTCTTTTGGTTTATTCTTAGATATAAGAGTCTTGAGTTTCTTATTCTACATACTAATTCTCTTGATATATTTTGACTCAATCATCCGAAACGTTTCTCTCTGAGAGTCATTCCGTTGTGTGTAATCATTTTCGTCTAATCTATTTGTTAATTTTTTATATAGACTATAACTATCTAATTCTATGAGACTACGGTTAGTGTACAAATGATGATTTCTAAATCAAGCCATTTCTCTTAGGAGAATTTCTGGAGTTTATCAGCAACTGAAGATTTAATAGGAATATTAACTTCAACAAATTTTGGTGAAACTGAATATCTTTTACAACTCTTTAGAAACCAAAAATCTGCAGATATTGATATCCTCAAATATCATGGAAGAAACTTTTACTTACTCAATAAAAGGACATGTAACGGTTTATATAGTAACGATTTGAATCATATGAATCAAACTTCGTGACTTTTTACCATTCAGTACAAATATTACAGTAACTAAATATAGCTCTGATTTAATGGTTAGATTACTAAATGACGAATTTTGATAGAAATCTATTTTGAAATCATTTGAGGAATTATTTTTTGTGGGCCGGTTTTTATAGCGCTAGAAAGCTTGCCAATAGCAAAACATTATTTAGTTTTCGAAAGACATTGATCTCATCAATCGAATCTGTATCCAACATTTCTGTACTTGTAACCATGTAACTATGAGGTTGATCCGATTATGAAATGAGCTAACTGAAGCGGTATGAATATTAATAATCTACTGAAAGAATCATGGATAAAACACGATTCATTCAGTCCATCAATTTTGTGATAGAGAAAAAATAAAATTTCTTTCACACTCTTCCACATGCAATGGTAACTTACCTATCTCTTTCTTCTTTGGGATTGAGTAAGTAGGCTGCTGGACTCCTGTTTATGTTAGCATCCAATATTTCTCCGTTATTCAGAAATATTCGAGCTTTCTGCATGTTTTTGTGGGCAGCCTTAATTGACTGTAAAAAAATAAAAAGTAAGATCATCTGAAGCAAGGTTCATAATTATTGTTTTTATGAAAGTCGGGAAGAAAGAGAAAAGGATGAAAAGGAGAATCAGTTCATGTTACCAGCTCATTAACTGTCGAAATATTCGTAATCTATCATCTTCGAATTTTACACTGGGTTAGTAATATTCGGACTGCCACAACTGAAGCGTATTATTCTCACCATGAAATAATAATTAGGAGCAATGCGAAATATGCATACAGAAAGGTGTTTCCTGTACATTACAAATTGAAAATTATCCATTGAATCATGAATAAACTGAGACGTTACTCAGTAAAAATCATTATAATTGAAACTTGGAACCTCTGGCATGAAACGAATTTATTGAACACGCTTTTCTCTCACAAGAACTACATTTCTGTCTCTCAACGTGAGTTTCGCTAGACAAGTTAGCATTATCAGAAAATAATTTTCTTACAAATGACAGTCTTAGTCATCTCCTGATGATGCCAACTTGGTTAAGAAAACGCGCGTTAAGATACAACAATTTTGTTCTGATGAAGGGCAAGTCTTTTCGATAGAAACACTATTCACTATATCAATCAAACAATACTCAATAGTGTTTTGGTTGGTTTTCGGGTTTTGTCGTGGTTTTCTTTGGTTACAATCTCCAAACGTTTCAACTGCAACTACGGAAGTCATCTTCAGTGGCATGGTCGANCTATATTTTCATTAAGAAATCCTTCAATCGTCTGCGGAATATATTTATCGAACCACTATCTTCAATTTAATGAAGAGGTCATTGAAACAATCTACTCCTTTATAACTTTTATGTTGTTTCTGTTTATAGCATTACGTCCATGTATTTCAGCCACATAAGTTAATTTATTCTGTAGATATACAGGTGAATATCCAATTTTGATTTTGAAAATAAAAATTAATGTTTGGTACTCGAAGAGTTTCTTCACTGGTAGCCATTGTAGGGTTTGTAACATTTTTTTTGTAGTCTGTTTATTTCATTTTGATTGAGAAAGAACAGGACAACCTAGTCAATACGACGTATTTTCCATTAGGAAAACGTCACACATAACTGCAACATTAGTGCCTCCGTTATTGACTTAATAGTAATGTTGTCTGTCAATAACATTACCAGTCCCCAATAATGTATGTAATGATTCCAATACATAACACGCCTCAGGCGTGTTATTTCATTAGTATCATTAAATTGTGGTCAGTTTGAATGTGTACAAATTAAAATTGTCTGTTTGTTTTCTGGCATTGCTCATCAATGTAATTTTGAAAATGTTTCAGTGTTGCATATAAAATTGAAAGATCATTCATATAAGGTATCACTCAAGTATTATTTTTATTTGAAATTTTTGACATGAAGGTTATTGTGGGAAAAAAGTGGCTGGTAACGGATTGATTTTCACCTAAAGATGGGTCTTCCTGACACCTGAAGTTAGTGTTTCACGATTTCTTTTATTTCTTTCCAGTCAAATATCGAAAGGGGTGACTGGTTTTGATTGGTTTTGATTGTCTTAAGTGTGAAAAAAATCGAAAAATATGCAAAAATTTGTTTGGATCGAAAGTTTTAAGGATTGTCGATAGTGATTCATTTTGAGGAACTTCTCAAGAAGCACAAAGACTGTGTATTCCGAAGCAACAAGGGTTGCTTTCAATATCTCAATACTAGACCTCCAAGAGACCCACAATAGAAGGCACCATTTTCTACATTTGCAAATACCATCGACTGTTTGCAATCTAATCTTTTCGATTCCAAAATGTTTATACTCGGTAATTTCGATTTCCACAATATCATCTGACCTGACATCAATGCTGAGCAAACAACCCTTCTATAATAAGCAGTGGCCTTACTTTATAGGTTCAGATTTCTGAGAAATATATTTGAAGTGAAAACACCATTGATGTTTTATCATGCATTTTATCATGACCTACGGAATCATATCCTGGAGTGGTGCATATTAAAATTCAATAAAATCTGTCAAGTCTATTCATAAATATGCATATACATAAAAATAATTTTTAAAAAACCGTTCAGACTTACATCGAAAGTTTTATTCAGAAAATATTCCATTTTAACGNAAAAATAATTTTTAAAAAACCGTTCAGACTTACATCGAAAGTTTCATTCAGAAAATATTCCATTTTAAATCTCCAACAAACATTTTACAAAATCAATACCATCTATATAATAAACATTTTGCAAATACTGTCATGATGGAACATCAATATGATACAAGATCAAAGACCAATGAATGCTTTCACATTGCTAAGTGTAGTCTACATTCAATGCAGCAACACTGCATATGTATTGGTTGTGAAATTTACAATATAATTCAGGAGAAGTTTAGATGTTGAGAACAACTTCATTTAAGAAAGCATTACACAATTGGATATTAGATAATAGTGAAAAAATTGAAAATGTGATCACATTGAAAAAGTTCAGTTCAACAGATAATTTATTTTACCCTCATTAATAATAAAATACTATTATTGATACATTTCTTCATTCCAATTTATTGTTTCATGAACAATATCTAATTAACAGTTAATATAATCTTCATTTTTCAACTAACCCAGTCAAACACAAGTGTTTACAGACTTTGTTAAAATATTATACATGTACTGACAAGTTTTTATTATTTATAGACATTCATTCAATATTGTACATTTGTTAATAAAGTTGAATTTGAAAATTTTTAATTTACTGTACGAGTCAACCAGGATTCCTCACCGAGATCCTGAACCATTATTTTCTGAGTACAATCGTCATTCAACGAATCAAAAAAATTTACTCACCTTAACAATGCCCGACACAAGGGCGTCAAAAGTTTCTTGAACAAAGCCCATATTAGGTACATCAAGCATAACGTCTTGCATAAATCCACCCGGTGCAGAATGGGTGTGAGTACCACTAAGAATCAAGTTGTCAATGGTATATGTGTCATTATACAAATCTTTCAGTTCGGAAAGTACCTGAAATGGAAATAAATTTTCAATAAAGTAATATAATAAAATAACAGGTAGCTATATAAACATTATAATAAATCTTAAATACAGTCATGTGATACAAAAAAACAATGAGTAAGGATAATTTCATTTAACTCCGGCGTTAAAGTTGTGTCAAGTCCAGGTGAGTATTTGAAGTCCTAGTTCAGCATTTGCACAAGATATCTCACGTTCGAGTATATACACCCCCAGCTTTTTTTTTGAACAAATGCTCATCATTGATTTTTTTATTGTTTCAGGTACCGAATTATATAATTTCAACGAAACGTATGAAATGGTTCGTTGAGAAATTGATTTCTTTGGAATGTACGGGTAGGTGAGTACATTTCAATTTCGCGGTTCATTGAGAATTAGCCAGATGAATCTTTTTCGGATTATTCCCAAAGGATTCAAATATATCCTAGATGCGTTTTCCCAAACCGTAATAGCGTATCTCAAATGACTCTCAACAAGGGAATAATACAGTTTTTCTCAAGTGTTTTGAATTGAAAACTACTTTTATGCAGCTTTTTTATCATAAAGTTGATATGAGAGTTCCACCTCAAGTTATTATTGATATACTTCTTACAGATTCAATATATAATGTTTTTTCAGGAAAGTTAACTACCATTTGATGGAATGGTGCAGCTTCAGATTTATTGCAACTGAAGGAGATTCAATTTTTTCCAGATTGACAGTTAAGAGAGTTTTTGGCAAATCCAATAATTTATGAGAATAAAATCTTTTTCTACCATGTTTTTAATTTGTCCCAAGTATCCGCCTCATAGAATATTGTAGTATCATCGGTGTATCCAATTACTCTTCCTGCACTGTTCAGTTCAAACATATCGTTGACAGAAAGGTTGAAAGGAACAGGACAAAGAACAGTACCTTGAGGTACACCACATCTAATATATTGCAGTTCACTCAGGTCATCAACCATAATCACTACTTGTTTCCTTTTTCTTAAATAACTACTCAGAATATTTAGACATTTTCCTCGAATTCCTTTCCTCTGTAATGTTTGTACAAATATAGTGTGGTCCACAGTATCGAAGGCCTTGCTTAGGTCAATATAGAGACATAAACTAGGCTTTTCGTTTTCTAGAACTCTATGAATTTCATTTGTTAACTCCAAAACAGCATCTTCTGTGGAAGTTCTTTCTTTGAAACCAAATTGTTTTTTAGAAATTAAATGATCACTGTTAATGAAGTTCAATAATCTTGTTTTAATGAATTTTTCCAGAATTTTATATAAATGGTTGATCAGAGATATTGGTCTGTAATCAGTCACAGAGGTTTCGTCTCCGTTTTCATATATTGGACACACTATTGACTCCTTGAACATATCAGGTCAAACTTCTTCCTTAAGGCAGGTGGTAATTATATATTTCAAAGGTTCAAGTATATAATTTGCAATTGACTTGTTCACTTTGGGCCTGATTCCATCGGCCTCTGGTGACTTGTTATTATTGAGATGATGGATGATAGTAAGAATTTGCTCACAATCAGCTTCTCTCAATATAATTGAATTTGGTATCGTCACTGATTTTATTTAAAAATTGGGATTTTTTTTCTGCTGAAACCTTACCCTTTACCTTAGTTGAAAATTCGCCGCGATCATTCTTTATTGGCCCTATGACTATGACTATGACAAAAGCTTACTCGTAAAAAAATAAAAACTAGCCCTATGACTAGTTTTTATTTTTTTACGAGTAAGCTTTTGGACAATGTTCCATAACTGTTTTGGATTTTGTCCATTCATTTGAATTTCGTTTTTGTAATATTTTTATTTGGTTATACAGAGTGTTTCAAATTCAATCCTCGCCATTAGGATCTTGGAAACTATGAGAGATACCAAGATGGTTGAATAGTTTTAGAACATCGGAAATGTATTTAAACTTGTATCCCGAAAGACGACAACCACATCGAACTATGTTCAAGTTATTGGATCAAAAATTCCACCGAGTTTGCTTCATTTGAAAAGCAGTGGAATCATTACAGCAGTATGTACAAATCTTAATAATTCAAAAAATGAATGAATGGTCGTTTCTATCATTTTGAAATGGAAAAATTGGGATTATCTGAAAAATATTATAGATATAGCCAAAAAAATTAATAATAAAACTCAAAAGTGTCCTGTCATAAATGCAAATGCAATGTTTGCAAAAAAGTACCATGTATCAACAGTCTATTATATTTCAACTGTATTGAAAAATAAACAGACTGTTAGAAGACGAATCTGACTCTTCAAATGAATCAAATCATTGAAATATCATCTGATTCGTCAACAAATTAGTAGGTATATACCCACAATGCTGATTGAACTCCAGCAAACCATGAAAGTTCAAAAATGATACCGAATGTCCAGTTACAATTATATCACTAGTGGTCAAAATTGGAAAAGGTATATTTTTCAGAAAAGATTACTTTTTGAAAAAAAATCTTAGACGAAATAATAAGTACGTTTGTTTGAAGGTAGATGACAATGTCTCATGGTAAATTTCGTGTCTTGAAGACATATTGCTGAAGGATCATCTTTTGGAGTAAAATGAAAAATGATGATTAAATTCTTCAGATTTTTCAAAACCTAGAGGGTACCACTGTTTGTTTCGGCGATATTTCAGTTCAAGGACCGACTATCAAACACTGAAAAATTCGACTTATTCAAGCTGTACCAGAATATAAATCGCATATGAAGGGAAAGAAATGTAAGTGAAACTCAATACATTGGAATTTTATTGTCTACTATGATTATTCAATCATCTTCGGGTGTTGACCCAAAGACGATTGTGTGCTAAGTTAACAAAATGTAGGTGGATTTTGAATGTTCCGTCATCTTTTTAGTGGTGAGAAAGGTGAAAGCGAATGGTAAGGATAATTAAAGACTTTTTGGAGCGAGATTTAGGAAAATCCTCAGTTAATTATGAAGAACTCATTACTGTGTTATGTGATTGCGAGGCAACTGTAAACTATCAACCACTGACATACGTATCTAATGAAGATTTCGTGCCCGTAACACCTTCCATGTTTCTTAATACGAACTGTGATACGGAGATTCCCGAATTGGACATTGTGAATATGCGCCATTGATCAAGAGATTGAATTATAAACAGAAGCTGAGAAATGGTTTACGTAGTCGGTTCATGAAAGAGTATCTAGCAGAATTGGTCCATACTAATCGAAAACATACAGGTAATCTGAAAGTAGGTGATATTTTTCTCATTGAAACAGATAACAAGAAGTGAAGTGACTGGCCTTTGGAAAAAAATCGAAACTATTTCCTGGAAGAGACGAGATCCATGGAGAAACAAGACTCGAATGAAACCGTGGAGAACTAATTCGACCAATTCAGAAATTATATTCTCTGGAAATTGAATCTGGATAGGAAGTTGAAGCAAAAGGAAATTTGGATGGTTGCAAAATTATAAAGAAGAATGAAAAAAGAAGAAGCACAAAAAAGAAAATGATGAACAGGCCTCCAAAGAGAAGAAAAAACAAGTTGTTCAAGACCTAGCTGTCACCAGATATGGCTAGGTATTTGTTTTCGAATCCGATTGCAAATATGGGGGGAATGATAGATCTTCATTATTAATTGTTTTGAGCCCCCGTATATGGTGTTGCTATGAAGAACAAAATTTTTGTTGAAGGTCAGAATGAAATGTTAAGTTGAAAAGTCAGGAGTATATTTTTTGATTTCTCATTAATAAAGTAATATATATTCCAAATATTACATTGATAAACTTATCCATAAGAGTATCAGGTTATTTATAAGAACGTAGACTAGTAGTTAGTGAAACTTTATTAAGTTAAGATCTATCTGGCATTATAGAGATTTAGAAACTATCCAGTTCCGTCATGAGAATTTCCAAAAATAAATGAATATCACCACATATATGTTACGTCGCAGAACTATTTTAAATTTATGAAACAAAATTTTCTCGCCACGTCTGTCCGTTTGAACGCGATAAACTCAAAAACTACCGAACGGAATTCCATTTGGTTTCCACAAAGAACAAAGTAAATCATGAGAAATGTTTTGATGTAAAATTCATTGTTTTCGTAAATTGGTTGAAATATGATGAGAGTAGAGAGGGCATTATTTCACTAAAGACTCAAATAAAATCAGAACAAACATCTTGACAGAATGGTCTGGATAAAGTCTGCGGAGTTCGGAGAGAAAATCTAGATATTTTATCCGTTTTTTTTCTCTTTTCGAACAATATTTGCCTCGCTACGACTGCAACTTTGTGACAAATATCGTGCTGCTCTGGTGATCGAGAAGGACTACATCACGCTTATTAACTTGTATGAGTCTGATGGTGGGAAACGAACAGTTTCCATAAATTCGGCACTTCCTGTTTTCCACAAAGAATTCAACATCCCCCAAAGCGTAGGATAACACCAATGTCTCAACAATACCGTAAGAGTGCCGTAGGTGGTAATAAAGGACTCTTAGAGCCGCGGCATGTCGATGGATATAGGCGGAGCCCGCATATGCTGGACATGTTGACAGCAAGTGCTCATACTCATACATGCTCATAAATGAGCTGCTCATAATCTCCGTAATCTCCGCTTCGTCCTCTTTTGAGATGGACCAATGCACATCTGTTTATTCCGATTTTCATACGGATAGCATGCGTGTACTCTTCCACTACCCACTAATGACAACATGAAATTCGTAGATTGAAAATATATTTTTGATTGGCAAAAAAATTCCTTTCTCTGTTCAGAGCAAATATTCACGAACCAATTCAATTCGGTATTTTTGTATCTTGAGTACCGTTGAGGTGGATATATTTTTCGTTGAATTCAAGCTAGCAAATAAAATTTGTGAAAATTCTCACAAACAAATTATTATAGGAATGTTTTGAATCAATAAAAAATTCATGTATGTTGATTGTATTCAATATATTATACTCCAGTCTCTTTCGTATATTTTCATTTCGATAAAATGGAGTTTATATAAGTATGTTTGAATATTTACC